CAATAGGTGCACGCCGACGCCGCCTAGGAACGCCGCGAGGAGGTACCCGCCGTTGGTCACCACCGTGTTGGTCAAGTTGTCGTACGTCACGATCGCGCTCATGAGCAAAAACGCGACGGCGACGGGCGTCGCTTTCAAAATCACCTGCAGCATGATGAGCATCGCGTTGCGCGTTTGTCGGAGCACGACCAGCATTGCATTGTGTTCTGGTAGCCCCGTGTGCGACTTGGCAATGGCAAAGCCGAGTGGGAGTGCAAACGTGATGATGCTCAGTAGCGAGCCATTGGCGAGCGCGGCAAAGATGTTTTGGGGCACCAAGAGGTTGATGATGGAAATGACCTCTTGCGTCAACGACAAACTGCGCAGCGTCGTGTTGACGGCCAAGACGTGGTTGACATCGCTCGCAACGAAGCGCGTCGATGGCGACGAAGTCTCCAACGCGACGCACGCAAGCTCGTTGGCGTCGGTTGGTATGGCATACTTGCCGTTGGGGCACTCGAACTTGAACACGAGCGACGTGGTTGCAAGGAGCCCCGATGGTGGTTTGTGGTTGCGCACGACAGAGTGGTAAATGCCGGCAACAATCATGCCTTGGACGACCGCCAAAAACGACGTGAGAAAGAAAGTGCACCCGGTGCGCCACGAGAGAAGCGACGCCTTCTTGAGCACGACGATCTCGGCAACAGCGACGGCCATGGCCGAGAAGACAGCGGGCACCATGACGCAGCGCAGCGCCCGAACAAAGAGGTCACCGGGCAGTGCCACCCACGCAATCGCATCGGACGAGAGGTCGAGCGTCGCCAAAAGAAGCCCAAGACCGACACCGATGCCGGCGGCCACGATGATGGCGAGCGAGCTCAGGACATAGGGACGTATCGCGGGCTTTTTCATATGAGGCTCGGGCATCGAGTCGCCGGTCTCAAAAGCGTCATCGTCGACAAACCCTTCGTACTCGGAGATAACGGGCGTGAAGCGCTCGTCCGACTGCTTGGAAAGCAGGTTGCCACGCACGTGGAATGTTTCAACCGGTGGCGGTGGACGGCGGACGCCAGCTGCCGTTGGGTTCTGGTTGAGGTTGGTGGCTGTGGCGCCGCTGCTGCTGAGCGTCGGTGCGTTGGACTCCCGCGGCGCTTCGCCATCAAAAAGCACCACACCTCGCGTTGCCATTTTGCCAGTGCGTTTTCCACGAAGAAGGATTTGTCGAAGACTAGGCCATAGCATCGAAGGTTTAACCGATAGGGTTGCGTTACGTATTCGTTCCAATTTTCCAACAAGACGACCAGGTTGATAAACACTTATCATGCTAGAAGGCTCGTATTCTTTAGAAGGATCAACTATGTGGGTGGACGCCGTGCCAGCTTATCGTACAAGCCGCGTGCTCTGTGATGGGATCGCGGGTCGATGGCGACACGGGATGGAACATTAACCGTTCTAATCTTTCAGCGTCACATTCTTCTCCGCTCGAACCGTGTACAGGACCCTGCGTTAGTGAGCCTATTTGGTTATTCTTTACGGGTCTGTAGTCCCCTGAAAAGAGAATGACTGTCGACTCCGACTTAAAACGTGTTGCAACTAAACGGCGGTGCAGAGCCGCAGATGTTGAGGATGCGAGGTGTAAAGATGGCGCACGCCGGAATAATGCCGTCATGGGCCACAATGCTATTTGGCTTAACGCAGGGCGCTCTCTCTTAATATATATCGCTTGGTGTTGAGCTGTGGCTGGAGATGGAGTAAAACATTTTGCCGCTTTGGGGCGGAAAACACGGTGATTGCGGGCACGCCCGACGGTGTGGAGCGCGCATTTCGGTGTGCAAACTCTCGATGCCACGTGTACTAACACCGAACGGGTCGAATTTGCTGGGGCCTCGACCAACTGGACACGGTAGTGGAAGCGCGACGTCAAGGCGGTGCCACCCTAACCACATCCAGATGCTAAGCGTGGACCAATCAACGTCCATGTAGATTCTGCGAGAGTTGATGCCCTCTATAAATGGATACATCAACGCGAAGGTGCGGTAGCGACACGCCATGAATCCAATTATTCCCTTATACAAGTACTTTAGAACCCGAACCGATTGCCACGTACAATTTTGTGGGTACTCTTTTACGTTTTAAGCGAATTACAGTTGCGCACCCCGATCCTGGGTCCCTGTCCGCTGCGCAAAACCTTGACGTTGGCGATCCGACACAAAGGATGGACAGACGGCGTGCGAGCGCTTTGGCACTTGGTCGCATTGTTCATTTTGCACACCATGGGACACACGGGTCCGCTGCTGCGCAAGAACGTGTGGCTCAAGAAGCGGCGGCCGATCGCGACCCTCTTCGAAATCATCGCACCGGCGTTTGCGCTGATTGCATTTGCTGTCCTGCAGTCATTGATGTATGGCAGCTACAAGGTGTCGTTCGCACCCGGCTGGCAAAACTGGCCGCTGCTCCCAGGCTACCCCAACGTCAACTACGGCGACCGCGTCCAGACGTATGGCAGCAAGCGTGGCATGCACTTTGCCGAGCCTTCCGTGTACCAATGGCTGCAAAGCTCGATGGGCGAGAGCTACGACACCAAGATCTGCTTTCAGAACCCGTCGCCCGACGAGCAAAAGTCGACCAAGTGCCAAAAAGCGCTTGCGCTGCGGCCCAAGCTCGCGATCGTCCCGGACACGCTCTTTACGCGCAAGTACTTTGCCGCAGCGCTCACGACGTGGTACCCGTCGCTATCGGTACCCATCGCGGACAACAAGACGGTCACGATTTCCGGCATTACGGCCGACGACTTCGTCTTCTTCGAGTCGGAAGTCGCGCTCGAGGCCTATGTGACGAGCCCGTCGTACGGTCCGGAAGAAGACGATTGGTACTACCGGTATTCGTCACGGGACGAGCCCGCCAAGGAGGGCCCGACCACGGCGCCGCTCCGCGCAGCCATCGTCTTCAACATCGCGCCAGCGCCAAACAAGATTGGCACGTTCCAGACGGTCGAGTACACGCTGCGGTTCCCGAACCTCGACCGGGGCCAAAAGTTTGCACCGCCCATGCAGACGGGCCAGCGCTACGACCCGCTGCAAATCGAATTCAAGCCCGACGATGCCATGGCGTACACGCAAGAGGGGTTTGCGACCGTCGACACGATGGTGGCTCGCCTCCTCAACTGCCTCCCGGCGTGGGATGCTACCGCGCAGTCGACCAACGGGTCGTGCACGGTGGCTGCGTCGACGTCGGCGCTGGCGGCCGATGAAGCGCTTCAGTCCGTCGCGGACGCCGACTGGAAGGCCCTTTTGCAGCAGCTCGATCGAGGGTACGCCTGGAGCCTTGAAAACTCGACGCTCGCGACGCTACCCAAGGCGTTTCGCGAGGCGTATCTGCGCCCGCTTCGCCAAGCGCCGCAGCCGTACCTCGGCGGCGCCACCGACGTCTTTCCGATGCAAGGCTACGGTATCAACACGCTCTTTGACAGCGATATGCTCTTGGCAACGGCGATGCCGGCAGCCATGGTGCTCTTCAGTCTCTTCCTTGTCGGCAACATTGTTGGTGCATTCGTGCTCGAGAAGGAGACGCGCTCCAAGGAGTACATGCTCGCACTCGGGTTGCACCCGTCAGCCCTCGTCGCATCGTGGTTCCTCCTCTACAGCGTCATCATCGTGCTTGTCGCGGCCATCGAAACGCTGGTCGTTGCCGTCGGCAACATCTTTCCCAACTCGTCACTGGCCTGCCTCTTTCTGCTCTTCTTGGGGTTCCACCTCGCGACCTTGTCGTTTGGGTACGCGGCCTCGACACTGTTTTCATCGACCAAGGCGGCGACGTACGTCACCCAGCTCGTCTTTATGCTGCTCACGATCGCTGGCTACGTGCTCCCGGATGCCGCGGGCGAAGGCGCCAAAGCCGCCATCTGCCTTTGCCCACCCGCTGCGATCGTGCTCGCGCTCCAAGTCGTGCTCCGCGCCGAGTACTATACGCAAGGCATCACGTTTGCGAACGCGTCGGTGTTGCAAACCAACCGGTTCCGCTACTCGACGGCGGTTGGCATGCTCTTCCTCGACGTCGTCGTCTTTCTGCTACTCGGTTTGTACCTCGAGCGCGTGCTCACCGACAAGCAGCCGTGGTACTTTCCGGTGTCGCCGTCGTATTGGCGCCGGCGGTCCGGTGCGGCACCGATGACGAGCGCGCCCTTGCACGACGAAAGCAACGACGTCGAGATGCCCGAGCCCCACCTTTTGCAGCAGGAAAAGGACGGCCGGGCGCTGGTGGTCCAGGGTCTGCATAAGAGCTTCGGTGCGCACGTCGCGGTTGACAATTTGCATCTCGCGTTCTACGAAGGCCAGATCTCGTGCCTTCTTGGTCACAACGGCGCGGGCAAGACGACGCTCATCTCGATGCTCACGGGGATGTTGCCGCCGACGGCCGGTGACGCCACGATCCACGGTCACTGCCTCTCCACGGACCTTCGCGCGATCCAGGCGTCGATGGGTGTGTGCCCCCAGCACAACATCCTGTACGAGAACCTCACGGTCTCCGAGCACTTGCGTCTGTACGCTGCCATCAAGAACGTCGCAGATATTGACGCCGCCGTGACGGCGACGCTCGCCGAGGTGGACCTCGTTGACAAGGCCAACACCCTCGCCAAGGGCCTCTCGGGTGGGATGAAGCGCAAGCTCTCGGTCGGTATCGCGCTGCTTGGCGGCAGCCAGCTCGTCTTTCTCGATGAGCCCACGTCTGGCATGGACCCGTACAGCCGCCGCGCTGTCTGGTACAACCATCTTTTGCCTTATCTCAGATCTGATATCCGTTCCATATTAGGGACCTCTTGCTTCGGAACCGGAGCCAGCGCATTATGATTCTGACCACGCACTACATGGAAGAAGCCGACGTGCTTGGCGACCGCATCGCCATCATGGCCAACGGTGCGCTGCAGTGCGCGGGCTCGTCGCTCTTTCTGAAGACGCGGTTCGGCGCCGGGTACACGCTGACGTTGGCCAAGGCCAATGCGAGTGTGAACATGGACGCGGCGCTTCTCCAGCTCGTCGAATCCTGTGTCCCGGACGCCACGCTCGCCTCGCTCGTTGCCACTGAGGTCGTCTTTACCCTGCCGTCGTCGTCCGCGTCGGCGTTTCCCAGTCTTTTCGAAACGCTCGACGCGTCACTTGAGCGCGTCAATGTCGCGTCGTACGGTATTTCCGTCACGACGCTGGAAGACGTCTTTATCCACATTACAGGCCGCGTCTCGGACCCAAGTGGCGCGGTGGCCGTACCGATGGAACCGACGACGACGCTTGCGGCGTCGTCGCGGTCGTTTGTCTCGCAGCTGACCGCGCTCCTGCTCAAGCGACTGCATGTCGCCAAGCGGGACACGCGCACGCTCTTCAGCTCGATCGTACTGCCGCTGCTTCTCGTCGCGATCGGGTTTGGCTTGATGAAGTACGTCTACGAGCACGACACGACGACGGTGCAGCCGCGGTTGGCCCTCGATACGTCGCCGTACCCGGACGCAGGCGCTAGCCCGACACCGTACGTCTGCCTCAACAACGATGCAACGGCCTGCAGTGCGCTCATGGAGCGCTTCTCCGGCGCCCGTCCGGTACCGTTGCCGTCTCTGGGTGCGACTGCGTACTCGACGCCGACCGTCAATGTCTTTGGTATCACGTACGGTGACATGCCACGCCCTTCCGACTGCGACGGGCGCAGCTACTATGCTGTCTGCAAGGCGGCGCCGGCCAAGCTCAACTCGACCGACGGTTTTGAGCTTCGGTTTTCCACCGAGCTCTACGCGCGCGGCTTCCGCGCCGGGAACGACGAGGTGCAAATGGGCGGGTACCTCCTCTACGTCTCGCCGACGGACAATGTCATGAGCTACACGCTGTTTGCCAACACGTCGTCACCGCACGCCGCGCCTGTCTTCAAGCGCCTTCTGCATCAAGCCATGTACCGCAGCTTTGCTAGAGCCAACGACATTGAGCTCCGCGTTGCCGTGCACCCGCTGCCAGAGACCACGCGAACGGCCGAGTATCGACGTAAGAGCCGACAGCGGTGGGGCGATTCCATGGGCTACGTCGGTCTCGGCTGCTTCCTCTTTGCGCTCGCCTTCTTCCCCGGTGGGATCGTCACGTTCATCGTCAAGGAGAATCAGCTCACGGCCAAGCACCAGCAGCTTGTCTCGGGCGTCTACCTCTCGGCGTTCTGGGCCGCCAACATCCTCTACGACCTCCTGAGCTTCCTCCCAATGCTCGGCATCTTGCTCGGGCTCATTCTGGGCTTTGGCATTACACCCTACACGGCCAACTCGGAGGCGGTCGACGACGCGTTCTTGGCGACAGCGGCTCTCTTCTTTCTTACGGGTGTCGCGCTCGTCGCGTCGGCGTACGTCGGTGGCTTCTTCCTCAAGGAGCATTCGTCGGCGCAGACGATCATGGTGCTTTCGCACCTCGGTGTCACGATAGCCTTTTTCGTGGCCGAGAATGTCTTGTATACGTTCTCAAAGCCGAGCATGAACAACGTCTGGCGCGTGGCGCCGCTGTACGCTCTTGGCGACGGTCTCCGCAACGTCACGGCGGCGAACGCCAAGTACATCACGCTACCCAACGGCACGTCGACCAAGATGCGTCTGCATGCCCTCGCCCCCAGCGGTGTCTACGAGCACCTGACGTACCTCGGGGCGACCGCCGGTGTCTTCTTCGCTTTGCTCTTCTGCCTCGAGTATCTTCGCACGGTCAAGGCGCATTCGTACAACGCGACACCCGATGCGACGGACGCTGCATCGATGACAGACACGGACGTGATTGCGGAGACCGCGCGCGTCACGGCGCTGTCGAGCGCGACCGACAACGCGGTCGTCATTGACCAGCTGCGCAAGGTCTTCAACGACTTTTTCTTCCGCGCCGAGCCAGTCAAAGCGGTGAAAAGCCTCTCGGTCGCGCTGCCAAAGGGCGAGTGTTTTGGTCTTCTTGGGGTACGACTCTCACGCCATAATCGCGAGGTCTCACGCGCTCATTAGGTCAACGGGGCCGGCAAGTCGACGACGCTCAAGATGCTGCTCGGCGAGGTCGCGCCGTCGGCAGGCCGCGCCTTCCTCGCTGGCCGCAACGTCGTGTCGCAGCACAACCAAGCACGCACGCTCGTCGGGTATGCCTTAAGCGTCCTTGGTGCAACAGGTCGTTCACGAGTGTCTCGCATAGGTACTGCCCGCAGTTTGATGCCCTCTTTGACCTCCTCACGGTGCGCGAGCACTTGCAGCTGTACGCGGCGCTGCGCGGCCTTCGCGGGTCGGATGCCAAGCGCGCGATTGCACAACTCGTATCCAAGCTTCGGCTCACGTCGTTCGAGCACGTCCTTGCGTCGCACTTGAGCGGCGGCAACAAACGCAAGCTCTCGGTTGCGATCGCCGTGATCGGGTCGCCGCCCATCATCATCCTCGACGAACCGTCCACGGGCATGGACCCGGTGTCGCGCCGGTTCCTTTGGGAGGTCATCTCGGACCTCTCGACGCACCAGCGCGAGTCGACGGTCATTCTGACGACCCACTCGATGGAAGAGTGCGAAGCCTTGTGCTCGCGCGTCGGTATCATGGTCAGCGGCGGTCTCCAATGCCTCGGGAGCATCCAGCACATCAAGCAAAAGTTTGGTCACGGCCTCGTACTCGACCTCAAGCTGCGCGTGCCCGAGCAAGAGGCGATCGAAGCGATGGCCGCCACGCTGCCGTCCACGCTCAACATGGACGACATGATCCACTGGTGCGGCCGTCTTCGCAAGCCGTCGCGCGCGTCGCTTTTGGTGCCTGACCACGCCACGGGCTTCTTCCTCGCCCACTTGGCCAACACCGAGGGCGCGGTCGACGTTGCGTCTTTCTGCTCGTGGTGGATCGGCGAAGACATGTTTGACGCGCTCGCCCAGCACCTGCATGCGGCCACAAACGGTGCGATCGACGTCGTCTTCCGCGAGCCGGCGCTCGTGCAGTTCAAGCTCCACACGACGCTCTCGGCCGCGTTCAGCGTCGTCGAGGCGGCCAAGCAAACGTTTTCCATTCAAGAGTACGCGGTCTCGCAGACTTCGCTCGAAGACATCTTCAATGCGTTTGCGTCCAAGCAAGAACGACGCGAAGAGCCAACGTTGACACGCGGGTGCTGCGGCTGCTTGAAGGGGGCGCCGTCGACAAGAAACAACCAGTACCGCGCACTGTCGAGCCCCTAAGGAAGTGTCTTCGTCGCCGTGTCGTTTGCATATACACGTCAATTCAACTGGTCGATGCATCAAATACTTGACTAAAACACACACAATGTGAGCAATATGGCAGAGGTGGTGTGGTCGCATTTGTATTAGCTTCGAGTAGCAAAGCGACGTGAAATAGTGCGTACCTCGTGTGAAGTCTCATATAGCTTGCAGCGTTTTCTTCTATGCCAAAGAGGGTTAGAGATTTTTCTCCTGTCACCACCGTAAATCTATCTTGCAGCTTGCCGTGAGGTATGCGAGGCACGAGAGTGGAAAGGAAGAGTACATTATCCAGACATCCGAGTACAATCAGAAAATCCCTTTCCCAGAGGTCTAGAACCATCTCTTGGTCAGCTGGAGGATCGTGGTTCTCATACTATCTATCGACTCGTATCCTTCGACGAACTGTCCAACGTCGCGGTTGGTACGTGTGCATGCAGGCTGCATGTCGTTGGCAAGAGAGGGTTTGGCATGCATTAGATACTGTTATGATAAGACGACGCGACAAGCAAGACGAGTAGTAGGTGACCACCAAGTTAGACGCCTGGGACTGGCGTCCGGGCGTCTTCGCTCGTCTCGTCCGACCACGCCTCGACCGGGTCGTCGTAGCGCTGGGCCAAGATCCGCGTGACAAACATGTTCCCGTGCACGTTCGTCATGGTCGAGAGCCGATCAAAGATAAAGTCGCCGGCCACAACGTACACAAACGACGAGGGCAGCGGCGTCGTCGGTAGCACCGTCTTCCAGACCGTCATGAGCATCACGATCGCTGCATTGGGCACCGGTGCCGTGCCCATCGAGCCAATTAGCGAGACGAAAAAAAGCACGACAAGCTGCGGCGTTCCGATCTTGTCGTTGGCGCCCGACATGGCTGCGAGGAAGATCGTCATGAGCGGATAGTACACGCCCGCTGCGTTCATGTGGACCGGCGTCCCGAGATACATGACGAGCTGCGCCATCGAGCGCGAGACTTGGCGGGTCTGGTGCACGACGGCCACGGCCACGGGCAGGGTTGCCATCGACGACGAGCAGCCAAACGCATACATGTAGGCGGGCACGAGCTGCTTCATGTAATTGTACGGGTTGGCGCGCGTAAAGAGGAAGAACAAGAACGGCATCAGCAGCAGCGTGTGGCTTACGACGCCAGTGACGAACGCCAGAATCAAAAACCCACCCTGCGAGACGATCGTCGACCCGGACGTGTTGTAGGTGGAGATGGCTCCGGCGACCAAAAACACGACGGCAAAGGGCGTCGTTCGAAGCACGGCGTTGATCAAGAGCAAGAGTGCATTTCGCACTTGCCGTAAAGTGTTGAGGAGTACGTTGGTTTCCATCTCACCGGCGTGCGACCGCGCAATTGCAACGCCAAGGGGCAGCGCAAACATGATGATGCTGAGGAGCGAGCCGTCGGCGAGCGCCTCGAAAATGTTGTCGGGCACCGATGAGGCTGATGATCCCAATCACTTGGTCCGTGAGCGTCACAG